CTGTGTGTGTGTCTGTGTGTGTGTCTGTGTGTGTGTCTGTGTGTGTGTCTGTGTGTGTGTGTGTGTGTCTGTGTGTGTGTGTGTGTGAGAGAGAGAGAGAGAGACACGACAGCAGACTGCACAGTATCTCTGCGGCTGACCCATCGGGGAGGCAGACAGTTAGGCTCTGCGACTAGGATGCCGAAACTGTAAATCAGTCGGGGCGTCACCCTCAGGGTGGGCCTCTGGCTCCAGGCAAGCCGCCGGCTCCCAATGTGCTCGCCACATGCTCCCGGGCTCCTCGGATCTCCTCCGCTAGCACCTTCTGGTTCTCTGAGTGTGGAAGGTTGTTCTGAGTGTGTGTGGTGCCATGGGGTTGAGGTGGTGCCTATAGATGATCATCAGAGAAGAGGTTGCCATCTCCCTTTCGTAATGGGTGTTGGCTGTATGGCACTTGAGACATCAGGGCACCCAGCGTGCCAAAGCTGAGCTCTTCCGCCATGCTACCGTGCACGCAACTAACCCATCAAGCTTTGTGCTCACTTGTCATGCTGCCACGTAGAGCTGGGCTCATGTCACTGTGCGTTAGCAGTGTTTGTTTGCGCTGACTCTCCCGTATGAGTCATGGTGACAGATGATGGCTTGGTTTTGACTGTGTTTTTCCGTATTGCCTCTGGGCATCGAGCTTCCAGGTGCTCAGCGTCCCTGTGTTTATTTCCCAGAAATCCTCTTCTCCTGTGTTGCTCAGTGACGGGACACTGTTGCATATAACTGCTTGTGCGTGTGTACTTCACTGGCGTGGCCGTACCGTGTTCCCTGTGTCAGCGCCACACGCACGGGATTCTCGGGATTCTGATGACAGGACACATGATCATGTGGAATGTTAGCTGTTGTGAGTCTCCCGTGACATCCATGTACCCGCTGTCTCTGAACGTGCAGTTGTCATCCCGAAGTGTTCCTGTACAGTGGAAGTCCATGCTGGCCACAGCTGGCTCGTCCCATACAATGGCCTCATTCAGCTTTGTTGCTGAATTAAAGGAAGTATTTTATTTGTCAACTGTAATGAAGGTGCTGCAGTGCTGCCAGTTGCTGGTGTCCTCACACTGGCTCCCTCCCTGTGGCAAGCACACGCCCCCCCCCCCCGACCCCCCCCGAGAGGGCCCTCAGCTTCCCTGGGGTAAACACTGTTGTTTTATGGCGTGGTACTTAGCGTTTACAACGTGCAGATTGGGTTGTGAGAGAAGCCTCCAGCGGTCAGTGGTCAGCTCCGTTAAGTGGATGGTCCTCAGTAGGTCCGCCCCCCCCTTCCCCCCCCCCGCGCTGCTTTATGGACAGGGCATGTCCCAGAGCAGTTATTCAGATATTCTGACAGTGGCTGAGCGATTGCAGAAGGGAAGAGCTTGGCTTTTATCTGCCCATGGAGGCCTCTCCCCTCTAGGATTAATGGGGCTTTAGCAGAGCCTGAGTCTGCAGGAGAGAGAGGCTGAGGTCACATTGTGCCGAGTGGTTATGGAGGACAGCTTTTCTCTTTAAACTTGATATGCCTATAGATGCGAGTCTTCACAAGTTAGCATCGCATGTTTATTCCGAAGTCATTAAGTTTGAGAGCAGATAGGTTGATCTACAGAAAAGCATCTACCAGCATTATTTCCTGAAAACAGTAGCATGTGCAGTGTAGTGAAATGCTTCAGTCGTGTGAAAATGTGTTGCTGAGGCAGTGGGATGGTTTGATGGTCGCCAAAGTGTGTGATTCAAACAGGACTGTGACCACTCTTTCCCCTACCCATCGTAGAAATGGTCGAGTGTGAACAGCCCCCTCTTCCTGCCTCTGATCCCCCCTCGCTCGCCGGGCTTCACCGCCGTGGTGCTGACCTACGACCGCGTGGAGAGCCTCTTCCGCGTCATCACCGAGATCTCCAAGGTGCCTAGCCTAGCCAAGCTGCTGGTGGTGTGGAACAACCAGAACAAGAGCCCACCTGAAGGTGAGCGCCCACGCTGTCTAAGCATAGCTTCAGTTGAATACGTCTGCCCTGCCTCCAGAGTGGGTGAGTGCTGACTCTAACCCTAACCCTAACCCTAAACCTAACCCTTTATGCCTCCAAGCAAATGTAGGTGAACCCTGGGGACGATTCAACAGCAGGTCATTGGACTTGAGCCATGAATGTGGTCTGTTTGTTGGCAACAGTCTGCTTAATTCATAGTGATTTTAGTATCTTGGCTTTATCTAGTTACTTATTTAAAAATATCTTATACACGTTGGGTGTTGTGGTGATAATCAAAACAGTGTTTCACAACCGCTGCTCTACAGGCCAATAGCTAACAGCCTGTAGTGGACCACGGAACTGTAGCAGGAAAACATGGTTTGGTCCTAATGGGCCACCACATGGACGCAATCCCAGTTGCCACCCTAGAAAATTCCCCGGTCAACAAAATTTACTGCAGAGATTGGGCAGGGCGATATAAACTTCATATCAGCTTAACATATTATCATTATTGATAAAGTTGAAATGATAAGAAAATTTGAAACTTCAATATTCTGACAATAAGCAACATTGCTTCATTGCACACACCAAGCTATGATGGCCCAGAAACGAATTCATTACCAACCAGTCATATGGTGGTCTTTTAAGAACAAACAGCCTCTTTTTCATCAAATGCACAACAAGGTCGGTTGAGTTAGCGGGTTGCATGCTGCTGTTTTGGAAATATCATGGAAAAGATGTGTGCTCCCTCAGGAAACTTCAGTGTTGGTGAAGAAAGGGAGAGCTCAGCAGCCACATCACCTTTTAATAAAGGAGAGATTGAGGATAAACAAGGTAAAAAGATGTTGGTGATGTGGCGGCACTTTTTGTGGTTTTAAGTTTGACACGCAACTGACTGGTCCTGTGTACTGTAAACTCTGCCATAAACTTGGAAATACTGCAAGCTTATTTCACCCCTGAAGCATTGCCATCCAGCAGAACACGGAGAATGTGAGTGCTTACTGTCATGAGCAAGTAGGGTTTCCAGTTACAAATAGTGCCATGTTTTGGTTAAAAATGTAACTGTGGGAAGCCAGTCAGGCAGTCAGAGAAAAAACCAGCAACAAGCCGGACTGTCGATGTTTTCTAGTGTTACGCCCTGTGGAAAAAAAAAAGTTTATTTTTGCATGATTTCAGTCCGCAGTCTATTCAGTATGTCATCTTTTTTCATGTTCTGAATTGTAAGCAAAGATGGAGTTTTGCCAAGTAGTAATTTGAATAATATTGTGATATGTTGACTAACATAGAAAAAATCATCCTAATATTTTTAGCAAAATTATACCTGTCCCCCACGGGATGCCAACAAGGTAGATGATAAATAGGTAGATGATAAATAGGTAGATGATAAATAGGTAGATGATAAATAGGTCATGTGGCTGGAAAGGTTAAGAAACCAAGATCTGAAGTCAGACGGCACCGATTCTGTTAATTGGCCCATGACATTATGATGTGACCCATAGCTCTGTGCTGTTTTGGCCTGTATTGAGATTTTTTCTTTCAGACGTATTCACTTAGGGCCGAAGGTAACCTGATTAAGGAGCTGGGCTTGTACCCTGAAGGCCCTGGCTTCATCGGGCCACTAGACCTTAAGTGGGTATAGCTGGCGGCCATTAGCCACATTAACCGCTATGGTCAAATAGACCAGCTAAGAGCTAATATAATAGGAGCAATAGTAAATCTGCAGGTTTGGGCAGCCTTGGTGCTGATTTTGATATATGCGGGCCTGGCCAGCAGGCACTCGGCCTCCAGTTTGTTCCTGGTGCCCTTTCTCACTTACATTTCACGTTATTTATGACCTCATAGGCAGTAAGCTGATATTCCCTGTTTCCAGCGCTAATGATGTCTCCTGACGCTCCCAGCCCTTGTTTACAGAGCGCAGAAATGCAGTGCATCCTCACTGTAGATTTGGGCAGTGTGATTATACGTGGGAGGGGCTTTGAAGTGGCCTAATGGGACACTGTTTCCTTTGATTAGTGGTGTAAGTTGAGTCTGACTAGTGCTGTGTGACCTATTAAAGTTAACGGGGCCTCCTTCTAGGTCAGGTTCGGGTTACTATGCTGATCAGTCACGGTGCCTTCGCCTTATGGAGTTTATTTATTAATTCTGTACCATTGGGCCACTCAAATACTTGTAAATTGCTATAATCGTAAACCAGGAATCACTGCTGTTAACTTTTTTTGATGGTGTGGCGTTTTCCCTTGTATTAAATGAGCTGAATAAAGAGCGTTTCTTTTTCCTGTATGCCTTGAGGCCTGCTGCCTCTCACTGGGGCAGAGAGTCGCAGACACGTGACCAGCTCAGCGCTCAAATGCCGGAAGCTCCGTCGGCCTTGCGCTGCTGAGCCGAGGCCCCGTCACCTACAGGCTCCGCTAGCCGCACGGACGAAAGCCAGGGCCGAACCTGAGATGCGCAATCAGGAGCGAGCTGGAGGTTTTCTGATCGTCTGCCTTTGGGGAAAATGGGCAGAACTGGAAAGACACAAAAGTCGCATTATTGCTCCTCTGCCCGATCCGTCTGGAGTATCTCGGGCTCCATCAAAAGAGACGTCTGGTCCCAGGAAAGAGTTCATAGAGCGACACGCTCTGCCTCTGTTCTCAATGACTCCGACTGTTGCGCAACCCAAGAAAGAGACTTTGTTTTCCTTGCCCTGAAAAAAGAAACATTGAAACAATCTGACTTCATTGTACTGAGAATTTATATCACAGTTCAAACCAACGCGCTGTTTCTCCTTGTCTGCAGCTAATGCCATCTCATCATGGCTTGGGAGGTTTGGGAGGCATTCGGCTGGTGGTTGATTGCAACCTTTTCAAATGTGTTATTAAACTGATCTGACTACCATGGGGCCCTGACTTGTTGTTGCTGGTCTTTTTCTTTACCTATCCCTGCCCAGAGTCTCTCTGGCCAAAGATCGCAGTTCCACTCAAAGTGGTGCGGACCAAGGAGAACAAGCTGAGCAACCGCTTCTTCCCCTACGACGAAATCGAGACCGAGGCTGTATTGGCCATTGATGATGACATCATCATGCTGACCTCGGACGAACTGCAGTTTGGTTATGAGGTGAGCGCAATTGTTCCTCTCCATCCCAAGCATACAAATCAGCTCTGTGGTTTAATGTCCTAACATAATGGTAATTCAGACTTCCTGGTTCCTTAACCAAGCTTTCACTTGACTGCACTGTCTTCTTTAGTTCAGTTTTTCCTCCCGTGCCTTTAAGCAGACCGAGCAGCTCTAAGCTGTCACTTTCTCGTTTCCACCAAAGAAATACGCTTTGAACTCAGAATGTGAACCCAGCGTGCAAGAAGCAAGACTTGAGTCAGGGCCTCTCTGCTTTCCTCAGGAGCCTCATGGAGCGGTTTGCTCCAGGCTCTGCGTTTTATTTCTGAGAGGCGATGACAGGCCCGGCTGACACTGCCCATGACTGTAGGATTAACTGCTGCTTGCCTGGAGGCATTTAGGGGAGAATGCTGTCCAGCCGCTGCCTCTATGACATTGAGGCAATTGAGGATAATTTGGGGTAATGACATGAAATGGGAGGCATGGTCATGTCAGCTTTGTGGACGTCGTGGTCTAAGGCATGATGTTGGTCTTAAGACCTCAAGATTTCTTTTCCAGGGAAAACTTCAAGTCTGTCCAGTTGGTCTAAGTGTTGAGGAAAGAAACCAATAACATTAATATGGTGGAGTTCTCAAGACAAACTCATTCATTTAATGAATCTTTTAAAAGATGTTCTATTATTTTTGAGATATGTATCATCAACTAAAGTTATTTTCTTCCTGTCATACTGTTTATGCATATTTTGCAAATTAGTCATTGCCTGTCAAGCAGCTGACTTGCATGTACCAGGCCCCCTTTAATTCACATTGTAAATCCCGTGATGTTCTGCAGGGAAGTTAAATGCAGATTAAATGAGCAAAGCCTCACCTCGCCTTGACACTTATGAGCAATGATTTGCAGGCAGCAGACAGACCTTTCTAGAGCACCAATGCAATATTTGATTGCCAGTGCCTGACTCTACACCCTCACGTTGTTTGGCACTCAGGTGTGGCGGGAGTTTCCTGACAGGCTGGTGGGGTACCCTGGCCGACTACACCTATGGGATCACGAGATGGGCAAGTGGAAGTATGAGTCTGAGTGGACCAACGAGGTTTCCATGGTGCTCACTGGAGCAGCCTTCTACCACAAGGTAAGGAGGCATGCCTTGGCAATGCTAGCTGGGCTAACTGTGGTTACACCACCTGACCTTTCTACTCAATCTGAGGTGCAAGAGCCAAGGCTTGGGTGAAGGTTATCTACCAAAGACCTTCTCCGTCATTTTTCTGTTATGACCACATAATGAAAAAAAATTAGGCTGACAAAGAGTTTGTTCCTTCCAGCTGGTTTTAGTACATTGGTGATGTAAACATTAATTACATGTTGTCATTGGCCATGCTTCTTCTGAAGGCAGTGATTTACACAGTTCCTCTCTTCTCTCTTCACCCAGTACTTTAACTACCTGTACACATACAAGATGCCAGGTGACATCAAGAACTGGGTGGATGCCCATATGAATTGTGAGGATATCGCTATGAATTTCCTTGTGGCTAACATCACTGGCAAGGCCCCTATCAAGGTATGTTCAGCATGTAAGATGTTTCATTTTCACATCATAGGAGAGCTGGGTTGGTGCCACGGCCTCATACCTCCTCGCATAATCCACAAACGTCTCTCACTGTGAGTGTGTGCCATGGTTTGTGTACCAGCATCCGGTACATAGTTGAAGGTTCCCTGCAACATTCCCTCGACTTCTTAGGGACTGGCTCCATGCTCATTGTGACTGAACTGAATCTCTGCTTATGGAAAATGTATGGATGGAGGAGGCACCATGTGTAAGAGAGCCAAGCATTTCTTGTTCATAAGTTGATAGTAAATGAAGTCCAGTCAGTTCATCTGGGGTTCATTTTCCTGTCACTGAGTGTAGGCTTTTATTTTGCATACTTGTTGATTGGGGCAATTCAGGAAGCCACTGCAAGAATGTTTGAGTGATCGAGTAACGTACTCCGTGGCAGTGAGACTATATGGGACATGTCAGCCATCCAAAAACTCATTCCTCTTGAGCAATGAAAGGATGTCTGTCCTCTTAAGAATGCTGCATTCCAGTGGCCTCATGCAAGCTCCCAATCCGCAGCAGAGCAGAGCTAAACTAGCTTGCTTAGTGGTTGACCAGCTTGTGCCCCATGCCCGTCCTTTTTTTACAATTTGGCAGTCCTGCTCCCTGCTCGTGTATAATGGGCTGGGGGGGGGGGTTAGGAAGCCGTAACTCATCATCTTTATGGGCAGGGCGGAATGGCTTGTTTGCACGAGGCACGTGGGCATGGAAACTGCTGCCGTTGGGCCTGTCATGAAGGGCGCTCCCCCGCCAGGCACTGCTCAGCCTAAGGACTGCTGCCCCCACAGCTGCCAGTGTCTTGCTAAGCAGGCCAGTCCAGGCAGGGCTCACGAGATCTTACTGCATCGGTCATGCTGAACGGTGGCAGTTAGCACTGCAGCAATACGTGTAGCTAAACATGCAGCCATGTGCCAGTATATGTCAAAGATCTGCTGTTGGGCACTTCAGAAGGGTTTAACCTGAATGTATAAGCCATATAGGTGTATAGTTTCTATGGTTAATAAAAACAAATGTAAAGCAACAAAAAATAAAAGGTATTGGTCCTTGTTCTATAGAATGAAAGGAGGTTGTTCGGGCCGCTAAGCCTGTACCTGTGGCTTTTATACAAGGGTGGGTAGTGGGCTTTGCAGAGCAAAAACTGAGAGGTTTCCTGCCTGGCTGTTCTCAGGTCACCCCCCGGAAGAAGTTCAAGTGTCCTGAGTGTACGGCTATCGACGGGCTGTCTTTGGACCAGACCCACATGGTGGAGAGGTAGGGATTTCATACCAAGCACGGCCAACCACAGGCACATAAAGCCCTTCAGATCAAAGGCTCCAGCCTGCTCAAGGCATAGCTAACCTGTGTTAGTTTAGGCTTTGTCTGCTATTAAAGAATGGCACTGACAGGTTTATAGTGCTATAGGTCTGCTTCTCCAGACCTGACCAGTTAGCCCTGGGCCATCAAGGAACATGACTTGCTGATGTGGACTGAAGACTGGACTGGAGCTTTATGCTTAGTATGAGTGCCTCATTCCCAGTCTGCTTAACCACCAGTACGTAGGAGAGAAAGGGGAGGGTAGTGATCAAGTGGACAAACTGAGCTTCTTTAAATGGCAAAAAACACGTTGAAAAACAAAGCTGATTCTGTCAAGATGAGTGATTGCTGTTTCACGTGGCCTGGAGCATTCATTACGCGCCTGCTTGACCTTGGGAGTGGAGGCTTTGGGTCGGGCCAAGATGGATGGGGGGAGGGGGGGACCCCTGCTGCAGCTGCCCATCAGGCCTCCCACGCCCTCCCTCCCTCCCCACTGAAGACACAGAGCCCTGAGAATGCCTGGGATTCTGCAGGATCCCCTCTGACCTCCTCCTCCACCTCCTGTGTGCTCCAATGGGAAGGAACCCTTTCTCCCTCCATCTCAGGATACTCCTGTCACCTGACACCCATCCCATTAATGATCAGATGCCTACTGAAAGAACCAGAAGCACCACTACATAAATCACTCTTTCAGTCATAATGAAGACACAAGTTCAGTGTCACCAGCACAAAAGGGTTCTATGACTTTGTTTACAGCCAGCCAGATGTGGAGTAAATGTAGGTCTGTCTACTGGTGAATTTAAGTGCAATAGTAACAACACAGAGACAGTAAGATGTTTCTCCAGGTCAAAACAAACATTGATGGGTCTCTATTTGCTGTGGTGATGTACATACTAATGGATTTCAGGGCGTCCCACTGACCCATCTCCTTTCTTCATCAGGTCGGAGTGCATCAACAAGTTTGCCTCTGTGTTTGGGACCATGCCGCTCAAGGTAGTGGAGCACCGGGCTGACCCGGTCCTCTACAAGGACGACTTCCCTGAGAAGCTGAAGAGCTTTCCCAACATCGGGAGCCTCTGAAAGGAGACCTCTGGACGATTGGCCCTTGGTCCTCTGGCGCAGCATCTTGTTCCTACCCTCAGTCAGACCCTAATTTCAGGCTGTTTCTGTTTCAGATCCCACCTCTTAACCATTCCAACAACTTGTTTTTTGTTTTGTTTAAGCTGGAGGCAAATGACTTGTCTACCCAGTGCAGTTCTTAGATTCCACAGAGGAGGTACATTGGGGTTAGAGGCGCAAGGTAGTCCTTTTCTTAAGTGGTTCCCAAAGACACTAAAAGAATCAGGCCTCATCATGGGTTCACATGTGAAACCTGGTAACACTGAATGAATGAATGAATGAATGAATGAGTGTGTGTGTGTGTGTGTGTGTGTGTGTGTGTGTGTGTGTGAGTGAGGTTTAAGAACAGCATGGCAGCAGATGAGTTACTCTAACGAAGACCAGCATACAGTCATAGCAGTTCGGTCAAGGTTTCGAGCTTCTCACCCACGATTCTGGAACATGGCTCTTTCCAGCAGTAGGTCCAAAGGGTTCAATTATCATCTCTGCACATTTAATGAACTCTTCGCTGGACACTAAAGGCATTGGCTGTACAAGTCATGTTGAGGTGAGATTTCTTCTGTGTGATTTACTGTACTTTGATCAGTGCATATTTAAAGACAGTTCTGGAATTAGCGAGCGGTGAGTTGTGCTGAAAATGTATAGAGTGGCACTGGTCTTTTATTTTGTCATTGGCTCATCTACTTGGAACTTAAACAGTCAGCACACGTCTCTCTGGGTTGGAAGTGGGCTGTGTACGGCATGCATGAGATGGTCTGTGTACGCATCTGCTCTGTGTTGTGCTTTTTTGGTGCAGCCAGAGCCGCAGACCCATCGGACCCAGCTGATAAACTGTATGGCCTAACTGCACTTCAAGATAAACTGAGCAGTTGACGTTGCACATCAAAGCTGAAAACTGACGAGATGTTTAGTAAGAGACTGCTGTTGAGCATAGTCGTACATTGAGCTTATTTTCTATTTTGGATCCACAGGTATCTGACCTAACTAATCCAGGAACACTTCTTCAAAAGATGACTTTTGGTAACTGTAAGCTGTAATATAATTTCAGATTGAGGCTCTATTATTATTATTGGGTGATTTCCAGGTGAGGCTCTTTCAAGCAACTGTTTAGTGTGTTTGTGGTTGAAAGAAGAGATGGATCCCCACTCTGCCAGGTGCACATGGAGGCCGCGGATATGAATAGTGTCTTTTCGAAACAAGAGTAATATTTCACAATATGTACATTCATTTTTGTTGTTTTTTTTAAGATGTCAATATTCATCTTTATTTTTTACTTTTATTAATCCTATGGAAAATAATAAAGATGTCAACCAAATGAATGTGAATGTGCATCTAAATTACGGTTCATTGTTGATGAGTGAACAAATATATTGATTTGATAAAAGGAAAAGCCAGCAGTGCTGTGCAGGATGCAGGCTGGTTCTGCCGTAACTTTTTCTGTGCACAGAAGTTGCAGTTTTGTTTGTTAGTTTAGCTGCATGTTATATTGATTTGCAGTGAAAATATAAATCTGATATAAAAAGGGAGATTGGCACTTGTGGAAAATGATACTTATGGTGTCGTACAAACACCCCCCCCCCCCCCACACACACAGCATTTCATTCAATTTTGGCGTCAAACAGAACTTCCCCAAAACATGATTTTTTTTTTGCATAAACACTGAGAAAATGCTGTTACATTACAGTTTTGTGTTGCAATGTTTTATTGATGACCAGTATGCTTTAAAAACACAAATTAAAATTAAACAACAGTTGCCAAGCCCACTGCAAACACGCACACAAATTCTCCACCCTTCATGTTTTAAAAGAATGATATACTTTTTCTGTGAAAGTGAAACCTTTCATTGCTTCCAGATTGAATGCTTGTAAGCTTTGGAAGCCTCTGGCCTTTGTGGAAGTTTAGTGTAAAATTCCCTCAAGATATTAAAGCAGGGAGAGTAAGACTTAAGAGAATATATTTGGCTCCATCGTTTCAAAAACACAACAAAGATTCCTGTGGAGGATTGGGGGAAATCGTCCTAGGGGGATGTCTTTCCCACTCAGAATTGTTGGGAACTGTTCACCCACTGTGGACTGACTTACTTGAATAGGCAGTGCTCTCCGCTGGGGTGCGTCCCACTTGATTGAATAGGACCGAGCTCTAGTCAATGTAGAGAAGTGTTTCGCTTATTTACAATTATTTGTCTAGTTATGCTGTGATCAAAAGAGATCAAAAACAGACAAGCTTTCTATCAGATCTGCATCTACTGGAACAGAGTGTTGGTCTTAGAAATGGCATGTTGAGGTTGCAAATCAGCATGTGATGCTTTATGGGTGTGTTATGGGTCTCAATCTAGTTTCCATCTCAGATGTTTTAAGTGCAATAAGGAACACAAAAAGCTTATTAATATGATTAAAGGTAAGACATTTAAATGCAGTAAAATCCAGCTTACAGCTGTAAAAACTTAATGTTTATATACAAATTTGAAGCCATTAAAGCCTGGGTTAAATCAAATGCAAACAAAAAATAACCTTAAATTTTCTCCTAAGGTACAATAATACTTTACAACAAGTTAGATTTATAAAGATGCTTAGTTTAAAACTGCAAATACATCAGTTCATTTGCATAGAAAAGTAACACATGACTCCAAAATTAATAATATAATACATTGTGTAACATTTTTTACTTCAGTAGTATTAGAAGTGTAGGGGACAATTTTTAATTGAGGGTTAACTTAAATGTAAAATACTGTCAGCCTTGTCACGGTCTCTAACAGTGATTTGCAATGGCGAACATGGGATGAGGTGAGTGAATCCAGATGGGGGTGTTTCATTTAATTAATTTAGTTTTACTCGTCTTTGCAGGTGAATGGGCACTTGTAGTAATTCGGGGGGATTAACATAATAGTGTCTAAGAGCGGCATCTCTGTGACCTCGAGCTGCAGGCACATTGCATTCCCTTCACAATCTCTGGGTTGCCCCCAAAGATGTTTGCCGGTTCACCTGAGCTAAATCTTTTCCTGCACTATGAGTGTACTGCTTCTGAACTCTGGATCTCCACAATATTTGGACATGTCCATTTTGCTTACTGCTTATTCAGGTATGACCCTCGGCAGGATTCCAGTCCATCACAGGGAATCCCAACTGCACTCATGTACTGTAGGCAATCGAGAGATGCCAGTGTGCTGGGCTGCATGGCTTTGGCTGTTGGAGGATTCCCGCAGGACACCCAGGACGGGGGGGGGGGGGGGGGGGGAGGATGCGGACTCCCCAGCTTCGAGGTGTGATGTGACAGTGCTGGCCTGTGAGGTAGTGAGTTTTTCTGGTTGGGATCCATGCAGATGTCAGATAGATGGACTAGTTGTTGCTACATTCCTGTAACGTTTCCATGTGATTAACCAAATGCTAGTTGGGAGGATTAAGATAAACTATATAGATGACAACTAAAAATAAGCAATTATGCTGGATTCAGTGTTGCCTTTTGCTGACTCCTATTTCTGGCCCAAAAAGCAGCCCAGTATGACCATGTTCTGCAGCCACTCTGAGGCTCTCGCACCAACAGTCCCTGTCCACAGAGAACCTGGCCTTAATTAAAATGCCGCTTGTCAGTGGGGGAGCGACACAGAGCCCCACGGCGCTGAAAGGGGAGCCCCGTGTGGGATATGTTTGTTTTACATCGGCCCCCCAGCACAACTGCCTGCACTGTCCTTCCTGAAGCATGGGGGCTGCGTGGTCCTCCCTAGCCCTCCGCCCCCCTCCCCGACACAAATACAGCCATTAACGCAGCAGCAGAAATCTTAAGGGTGCCAGTAACATCCAGACTGGGCTGTTCACATCTAATGATTTGCTGCGGTGCTGAGATGCATGAGGCTGAACTCCCAGCGCAGAAGTAGCTCCTATGTTGCTGTGTTTGCTCTTATTCTGGCATAAGGTCATGTTCTTTACGTGGGACAGTTACGCCTATTTATCAATATGCTATGCTGTTGAAGTTAATGGACCCATAATAGGCTTTGCATTGTGCCTCATCCCTCCTGGGTTGCGCCATGGCTATGAGGTGTTTGCATGCTGCACCTGTATTTTGTGGGTTTACTCCCAAAATTCCCATGCCTCACTGTCTGTAAATATCCTGGTGTGTGCCTGTGTGCATGTCCTGCCATGGAGTGGTATCTAACACTGGGCGTTGCCCATCCTTGTGCCCTATGCTGGCTGGGATAGGCTCCAGGCCCCTCCCATTGGCCTTTTACAGGATCAGTGATTGGAAGATAATATATAGTGCAAGGAAGCCATTTATGGGCAAATGATGAAGTGGGAGAAAATAGGAGAAGCTCCCCATATTATTTCTCCAGTCTTAGCAAGGTAATGTTGTATATTCAGAACCTTCATCTATGGAACATCAGGAGCTGGAGGTTTTGTCTGAGATTCTAATCTACGGAAGCCACTTGATTTAGTACAAATGTGAGAAGTGATCAGAAAACAAAGATATGTTCCAGGAATGAAATTAAAACTTTTTTGGTCATAACTGCTGTTCACTTTTATTTTACTGTGATAATGGAAAAGGGATTTCCAAATATTTTGTATTTCCAAAGAAGTTATTTTTCTAAAATTTGGCGCTATAAAATGTGGTTGAAAACTTGAACCTTAAACTTGTAGACCTTGGTGTTCTGTACTATGGTCTCTGTCCAGCTGTGATGGGATCTATATCAGCCCTTAGTCTCACATCCCGAATGAAACATGATGACTGTGTTGGCATATATCTGACTTAAATCTGATGCGTTTGAGCTGTTCCTGATGTGTATCTAGACCTTCCTTAGGAAGATTTATCAGGTCCATAGTGACGACATGGATAGAGCTTGAGAGAAGATCCGCTGTGAGTGGCTGTGTCAGTCATGCCACTTAGTGGAGCATCTAAGTCACCTGTCATTTGGCTCAGCGTGATGTGACTGACAGTGCAGATTAATTACTACAAGCTCACTGGGTGTTTGTTTCCATCGGATGTAGTGATGTGTGGGTCGATGGTCACCTCCCTGCATGCTGGCCTGCCAGTAAAGAGACCAGGTGATGGGGTCTGTGTCAGAAATGAACGGCAGTTTTTGGGGAAATATTTCTGTAAATATGTGTACTGACCAATAACAAAGTCTTTAGAAACCTCTAGAACAGTTTTGGCATCCAGCATACTTTAACATGAAATTTGTGTTTGTAATTAATCTACCTCATTCATTGAGTTTTCTCAATGTTTCTTTTTTTCATTGTAAACATCATCCAACCCAGACAGTGGTTGTACTTGATGCCGCAAACATCCATGACCTTCTTGAGTTGGGAGCGATGGCTGGTCCTACTCACCTCTCGACTGGCTTTCGGTTGGCGTACCTTTGTCGTGAATCGGTAGCTGTCTCTGATTGGCCAGGCCAGCCAACTCTGTGAATCCCCTCATCACCTGCCTCTCGGATCTCCCAAGGGAGGCTCCGGAAATAGTGAGAGGCCTCAAGGATTCCGGAGTGACGATTCTAATTACTAAGGTTGTTGTTTTTAGTTTAGATTTGTAGTTTTCTTTGGGTTACAGTTCAAACGGCGGTTAATGCTTGGCAAGCTGAGTGTTTACTTTTGTCTCATGTTGGCTGGACCACTGATTGGCCTCCCAGGGGCTTATGGGTCTCATGTGGCCCAGGAGATGGCTGCGCTGTGCTCCTTGGCCTTCATCCGCAGCGTCGCGATGCTGGACGTCTTGCGGTCAGGGTCCATGTTGAGGTCGTAGCCATTGATGCCGGAACCCATTCCTGGTCCGGAGAACAGGCCGCCCATGTGCGTCTGTCCCACGGGGCCCCCAGGGCTGGGTGCCCCCAGGTAGTCGGAGACGCCGCTGGCTGCGTGGGGGTGGGGCGTCATGCAGGAGGTGACCGTGTCGCAGGGAACCACGCAGCCTGGCACCGGGGATGCTGTGCTGCTGCTCCCGATCCATGAAGGGTTCTGGATCTGGAAGAGCCAGGCGGACATCAGGTCTGATCTCTGACTGATCCTGTGACTGGCAGAGTGATGCCAACACTGGGGCCATGGGCCATCACTGGCCAACGTGACCCTAGTGTGGTTCTCACCCGTATGTGTGTCTGTATGTCTCACAGACAGGGAAGATGGGTGGAAGGTGAAAACAGTTTCCCCAGGGAGATGGACAAGCTATTTCTGTTCTATATTATTCATTATATCATTGCTGCTGCATCCCAAACTGTGTCACACCCTTGCTGAACTATTTAAAGACTGTGCATATAGTATAATCAGATTATATAAGAGCACATTCAAATAAACCAGGGAAAAATAAGTGCTGAATTACAAGAATGCGAAAATGTGCTTACAGCACAGTACAAGGAGGCTTACTGCAAACCACACTGACCTTGTAAAAAAATGCTTCCTCTCTCCAGATCTAAACTGGTGCCTAAATGGTTTCCATTTGTGGCCATTGTGCTTCTGAGTGCAGGCGCTGAAGTTGCCCCTTTATATCTCTTATTTTTCCTCAATATTTTTAGCGTCAAACAGCCTACTTGATAGAATTTTTAAAAAGTCATATAGCACTCAGTGCACAGCATGTAAAATGACGTAATACGGTTGCTGGTCCATCCACACCGTGTGTGGTTAATGGCAGGGAGGGGTGCTGAGTGCTGTGGCGTGGGATGGGGGGGGTGGGAGTTTGAGGCAGGCCTGAGTATCTGTAGGAGGGATGGGAGGGAGATGAAAGCCTGCTCGGGGAGATCCCCCAGATGTGCGTAGTGCAGCATTCCACAGCTGTGCCGCCCCCCCCCCCAACCGAAGATCTCCCCGCACCCTCCGACCCCACAGAAGATTCATAATAAATGGGGGGGGGGGGTTTCTGGGCCCCCACCAGGAGGCACGCACAACTCCCCCCCAACTATGGCACCATTGCGTCTCAGATCTGGAGGTAAGCCAGCGGACCCGGATCCAGTAAGAATTCCCCGTGCTGGTCCAGACTCCTGTCTGCACTGTCAGTGCTCTGCACACTGCACTGGGCCGCTAATCCCAGGCCATGGAGACTCTCCACTCATCTTTTTCTTTTTGGTCTTGCTTAGCCCATCTGGCTCTGCCTAATAATATATTTATAGGAGCACCTGAGTGAGTTCTCCACAGTCCATAAAGTGTCTCTGATCTAAGAGCAGCTGAAGGCTTGTAAACCTCAGCAGCAGAGCAGGGACCATGGATTTCAAATGCACCCCCGAGAATTTAACTAGTACTTCCCACTTTTGTTTTTAATGTTGCGTGCCGCCTCATTGGTCGGCTCTGTTGGTCCCCCTATCAGCAGCCCCGCTCCCCCACCCCTCCCGTGGACGTACCTGTGCATAGTTCTCAGGCCGTGTGAGCAGCGGCAGCTCGTAGGCGGTGGAGAAGTGCGTGCGGACCTGCTGCATCTGTCCGAAGCGCTCCCTCTTCCTCCACTTGGCTCGCCGGTTTTGGAACCACACCTGCAGGGAGGGAGGAGGGCATGGGGGTGAGAGGGGGGGTTAGAACTGACCCGTGGAGGTCTGATGGTGAGGCATGCCAGCGATTCACACTAGCAGGAGAATAAGCCATGGATTTATGATTCCGTGGGAATCTATGAACTTATATGTACTTTGTATACGTTTTACTCGTTTACATTTTGTCATATCTGGGGGAGTGCCTTTTTTCCCCCCAAAAAAATGCTCGGTTAAAGCACTTCATCTGGTATCTGCTGAACTGACACGGTGAAAAGGCCCCCAGGCAGACCTGCTGGGGTATTCAGATCCCTCCGAGGGAATATGATTTAGGGACAGATCCACTCACACTTTCATGCGTGTCTGGCGTGCATGCGAGTGTGTGCATGCATGTGTGCATGAGTGAGTGGTAGAGGGGGTTTCTTAAAAACACTCCTGCTAAGAAGGGGGGGGGGGG